GCCCGCTCGGCCCCGCGCCCCGCCCCGCCCGGCGCGCCGCTGCCTCCGCGCTAGGCCTTCTTGCACTTGCCCTTCTTCTCGCGCTGCTGGAACTTGCGCAGCCGCCGCGCCCACGTGTCCCGCCACTGGATCACCAGGCTGCTCTTGTCCGCCACGATGCCGCTCTGGTCGGGCGAGTCCTCCGCGTTGCCCAGCAGCAGGTACTTCTTGAGGGGCTTGATTTTGGGACACTTGCAGGCGATGTCCCGCGAGCGGATCCACAGGCTCTGGTCACCGCGGCGGATGCGGCTCGCGCCCTGCTTGTACACAGAGATGATGTTCACCGTGAACTTCCACCAGTCCCCTGCCTTGTCCGCCTTCAGGATGTGGATCTGGACCGCTGCAAGGAAGCACAGGCGGGAGAGTGGGCCCTGGGGCCGAGCAGTGCCGCCTGGGCATCTCCCCCAAACCCCCGGTTCCTGTGGTCAGGTGGCCCCTGCCTGCTCGAGCCCTCTCAGAGCCGAGGACCGGGCAGCCGTTCTGATGGAGAAGGCACAGCTGGGAAGGGACGGCACGAGGTACCCCACTGGGGCACGCGTGGGTGGTGCCTAAGCTGATCCTGGGAACGCCACCTGCCAACGCCTGGACCGGGCCGCTGCTCCAACAGGCCTTACTCATGCCTGACTCATGCCTGGGTTGAAGCTCTGCGTTTGGGGACAAGCCCCCTGTGGGGCCGGCAGGGCCAGAAGAAGCTTACAGGAACTGACCGCCTTGCCTCCCAGCACTCTGGGCTGAGTCTGCCTGCCCAGGACAGGTGCCCTCTGTGAGAGCAGCAACCATCACTCCCTGCAGGTTGGGTGGGAACCTCCTTAGTGCCCCCCCTACCTCCCGCCGTGGCATTTCCAAAGGCTCCGAGCACTTAACATCAAGCCTCACGGCACCTCCAGACACACCACCTTGCCCTTGACCCAGTCTCCAAAAACCATGATGGGATCTCAGTGCCAGGTGCAGAGTACCATGAACCTGCCCTTCCAGGTGGCCGTGGCACCCCTTCCAGAGTCCAGGGTCCTGGTACTGCGCCCCCTCCCTCCTGACCCTCTCCAATTACCCAGGCCATCCCCCTGCTAATTCTCCACCGAAACGTCCCCTGGTACAGGGGTTCTCCGCCGGAGCCTGCATCAGAATCCCCTGGAGGGCTTGTCAAGCACACATTGCTGGGCCTCAATCCAGAGTTTCTGATTCAGCGGATCTGGAATGGTCCCCCAGAGTCCACCTCTCTCACCAGTTCGCAGGTGGTGGTGCTGCTGTTGTTTCAGGGAACACAGTTTGAGAATCAGTGCCCTAGTGAATGTTAATAAATGTCATTTCTGCAGGATATTAGGAGGTATTTTAAAAGAAGGAGGAAATGCCTTTTAAAGAAAAAGAGGGGGCGCTTTGCTCCGATGGGTTTGTGAAATTCTGGGTTAAAGTCAAGAGGTTTCCGTAACTGCAGGACTTTTCAGGGCCTTGAATCTACAAATCGTGCGTGTGTATGCATGTGTGTTGGTTTCCCAAATAACTCTGAGTGCAGGCCTCTTGGGCTAGTGCATCTTGAGTTAGCAGAGCCCCACGGGGCCCAGTTTGGGAACTGCTGGGGGGACACATAATCATTCCAGGGGATAAAGGGAGAGGTCCCTGCTGCACTGACTGACCAAGGAAAACCTGGTCATCTTCCCCATCCCCACGGTCAGGACAGGGCACGCTGCGCTTGCTGAGTTCGCCTGCCACCGCCCCCCCGCACCCTTCACCCCTGGACCAGGCTGAAGATGGCCCTGGCGGATGAGTGGACTTGAGCCCTCCTGGAAAATGAGCAACAGCTCGTCTCTCCAGATTACACCTGAAGAAACCGAGCCGTGGGCCAGCTCAGCGGCTCCAACAGCCACGAGGACATGTCCCCGGGGCATGCTGAGCGGTCATCACCTGCCCGCTTACGGCCCGGCCTGGCCACCCATGCCGGCCAGCCTCTCTCATGGTCCCTGGGGCCCACACTGCCACCTTCACTCCCAGGGCCCTCCCTGCTGCTCCCCTTCTGTCCCCGCGCTTGGCCCACGATGCGGGAAGGTTCAGGGACGGCAGGACCCAGGGGCGCGTCCGCCACCCTCCAGCTCGTCCTTCTGGGGTGAGGGATGCAGCAGATTTTCCCATATTCCATTTCAGCCGTTCCTGGGCATCCTGAACTTTGCACTCCAGTCTGAGGGCTCCAAAGAATGGCTGCCATGGCAACCGTTTCCATGTTTTTGTCACCAAGGGACTCAACACTCAGTGTGAACTCTGAGGTGGGGTGGGGAGCCCTCTCCAGCTCGCAGAAGTAGGCTGGGCCGTGTGTTTGTGCACACGGAGGTCACCGTGGCAACTGAGTGCCCCTCGGCTAAGCGACGGGGGAGCCGGCGTCCCTGAGAACCCCGGTTTCCTCTCCTCAGGACTGAGCTGAATGCAGAATGAGGCTCCGTCAGGATGCCACTGTTTCCCTGGGTGGGATCTCAGACCCCCGGCCCAGCCACGGGGCCCTTCCCCCATCCAGCCGGGGTGGGCAGGGGGTGGCCCCGCAAAGATGCTGCAGAAGGCGCCGGGGGAACGCGGCTGTGACCCCAGGCACTGATCATCTCGTGGCGTGACAGGCTGAGCCGTGTCTCCCGGCCCCAGATTTCATAGGATGAGGTGCGAACCCCCCAGGACCTGAGGATGTGCCCGTATTCGGAGACAGGATCATTACGGAGGTCATGGAGTTCAGAGGAAGTGATTAGAGGGAGCCCTAATCCAATATGACTGGTGTCCTCGTGAGAAGAGGAGATCAGGACGGACACACAGACACACAGAGGGAAAACCCCATGAGGACACAGCGAGAAGCAGCCGTCTGCAAACTGAGGAGGGGGGCCTCCGGAGAAGCCACGTGCGGACACCTCGATCTCAGACTCCCGGCCTCCGGAACCGTGAGACAATAAATTTCTGTTGTTTCAGCCCCTAGCCTGTGGTGCTTGGTTCTGGCAGCCCGAGCAAACTTGTACGGTTGGAACTGGGGGCTCAGGATCTTGGGTGTCAGCCCAGAGCCAGGCGGGAGGGCAGCCCTGGTGAGGTGGGCCAGCCGGAGAGAGTTAGCCGGACCCGGTCAGGCCCTGGGCTGGCCCTTCTTACTCTCTGGGGCTGCAAGAACGTGGCCCCTCACACAGCAGGAGGACTGGAGACCCCTCCCCCACCTTCCCGGGGCTGGAGTTTCCCTCCCGTGAAGGAATGTTCTGGAACACCAGGCAGGGCATCCGAAGCAGCCCCACCCCCACCCCACTTCCCCAGGCCCGGCCCGTACAGGCCTGGAGGGGGTCCGCTCAACACTGAGGATGCAGCTCAAAGGCATACCCCACTCCTGAACACCTTGCCGTCCCCGAGAATCCAGGGGCCAGAGCAGTGCACACTGGTCCAGTGGGACAAAGCAACAGTCCCTGTCCTCCCTCCACCCCAGCAGCTCCCGGCGGCTCCCGGGCCTTGGAGCCGGATGGCACAGGCGGGCGCAGGGGCAGGGGAGGGTGGTGGTAGAATTCATGTGATTATGCTGGAAAAAATCCGCAGTTCCGCTGCCCTTGGCAACGCCTCCGCACATTACACAGCCCACCAAGTATGAGCCGCACACGCAGTGCACGGGCCAAGTCCCCGCCGTGCACATACAGCTGAAAATATTCAAAATACACACTGAAACAGTGACCTCAGGCAGACCCACTCCGCACGCTTGGGGGCCGCACCCGCCACAGCGTGGCGCGGGAACGGCCGCCACCTCTGCCGGGCCTGTTGGCCGGGAGCCCGGGATGGCTGGGGTCTCCTGGGGGCCCGTGGCAGCGCCCACCAGGCGCGCCAAGCACAGGCAGCTCTGCGCATCCGAGCACCACGATCCCTGTGGGCGTGCCCCTTAGACCCACGACGACACTCAACACCAGGCCAATGAGCCTCAGCCACCCCCCACCCCCGTCTGCGCACCGATGTCCTAGCTTGACCTCCAGGAGGGCAGAACATGGGGGCCCGGTGAGGATCCCCCATCCCGTCTTCAGAAATGAGGAAGATGACCCTGAGAAAGGCAGCCGGAGATAGACCAGGACGGGAAGAGGCATGCAGGGACCAGCCAGAGGGGTCCCTCTCTGACACAGAGACCAGGCAGTGGCCATGCCAGGGAGCCTGGCCCCCAGGCTGCTGGCGCTTCGGGCCCCTCTCTCAGCGATAAGCGGCTGCATCTCGGGGTCCACACCGTGAATGCCATCCCTTACGCTGAGCCCTTGCTCACCCCCCAAAATGAGGGCTCAGGCTGCAAGAGAGTTGCACACCTGGGGCCTGGGGTCCTGCTCTCCGCCCGGACAAAAGCAGGCATTGTTGGGGGGGGGCCTGGAGCCCACGAGGCAGGATGGATGAGGTCAGCCCCCCCCGCCGTGGGCGCCTCTGAGCAAAGCTGCAGAACGGGGTAGATGCCCGTGGAAAGCCAAGGAGAGAGCTCACGGGCTCCAGCGAGCGAGGAGCTGACCTCCGCGGCCCAGGTCCTAGGGGCCAGGCTGCACTCCTGGCCTGGGAGCCCCCACAGGGGCAGTCAGCTGCACTGCTCCGATAACAAGGCGGCAGATGGGGCGGCAGCCACCCCCCCTTAGCAATCCCGGGGTTCACAGGAAGGACTTATCAGCCCCCAGGGCAGGGCTGTGACGACTGACTTCTCTTAATCCCAGCCTGCTGCTGGGCTGGCTGGGGGCACGCACCTCTCCATCCCTCGGCTGCAGGGCTGGCCGTGACTCCGAGCAGGTGAGAAGCCCCCCGAGGGCCAGGCCCACTGAGGCCACAGTCAGCAAGAAGGGCCTGTGTCGGAGGTGGGCGGGGGGCTCGGAGGCAGGCCCAGGGCAGGCGGGGTGCCTTGGCCAGCGCCGGGGGTCCTCTCGGCTGCTGGGTGGGCAAGGCCCCCCTATGGCCTATAGGAGCAGAGCTTCCTTCCAGGAAGCCTCCACCTCTATGGGTCCCAACGCTCGGAGACTCTCAGGCCACCAAAGGCAACCTAAAAAGTCAGAAGCTCCGGGTCCTGTGCTTGTCCGCTCCGTCCGGAGCTCCCGTTCATGCTGAGCCTCCCTCCCCAGCTCCAGCCGTGACCCAAGAGACTCAGAGCCTGTCAGCTCCGGGCCCTCGGAGGACCTAGCACGGCCATCTTCCTGGGACAGTTAGTGACAGGAAGTAGCTCCAAGCCGACTTATGTCCCTGTCCCTGCTGGTAGGCTTTGGGGACCCACTGCTGGCATCAAAGCTCTCGTCCTGGGCCGGGTTCTGGGAAAGCTGTTTGCTCTGTGAAGAGTACACAGTTGCTGCTCATTCATCTGCTGGCTCAGCCTGAGACAGCCTGCTGGGCCAG